TTGGGGTGAAAAGACACAAAAGAATTAAACCAATTAACTGTAAAAATTAATTGCTCAGAAGTTCCCAGCACAACTAAGTGGCAAAAATCTTGAAATTTTGGCAGAATGAAAACAACAATACCCCACAAAAACTACCTTGAACTGAAAATTAACCTTCCTTATATATGAAAAGGCTATGTTGGGGAATGAGCCTTGACTGATCCTCTAGGTAACCTGCTACACCCACAAATACAGGTTCCAAGTAAACTTAAAGTGACCTCTTTTTTCTGGTTTTTAGGAAAAGGATGGTGTAGGGGCACGAACCTCCATTGATCCACTACTCCACCCTAACATGTTACATCCACAAATACAATACAGGTGCCAAGTAAACCTACCCCAGCCTTGGTAGGGCAGATGAACTCATAGTAACTGTCTGATATTAACCCATATTAGCTAAACCCCTTCTAAGACTCGGCTCTAAAATCCAATTTTGAGCATCTTACAAACCGCTAAAGTTGAAATTAACATCAATAAACCCCCCAAAAACATATCTTGAAATTGAAATTAACCCATTTTCTAACCGCTACAGGCACAAATATAGGTGCCTAGTAAACCTAAAGCAACTTTTTTTCCATCTTTTTTCTCTTTTGGGAAATGGGTGGTGTAATGGAGCAAATCTCCATTGATCCGCTTCTCCACCCCTAACATGCTACATCCACAAATACAATACACGTGCTAAGTAAATCAACTGCAGCCTTAAGGTCGCATAACTAAGCTCCCACTCACGACTCATGTAATAAGCTATGCCTATGCCAAGTAAGAAGTGTTGAACAATTGATTCATAAGGACGACCATTGTATAACCATTCATCAACGGATGTTGCCGCTTCCCAGATTGGATAAAAATGTAAGGCAGATGAGCTCACACTAAATGTTTGAAATTAACCCATATCAGCCAAACCCCTTCTAAAACTCAGCTCAAAAATCCAATTTTGAACATCTTACAAACCGCTAAAGTTGAAATTAACATCAATAAACCCCCCAAAAACATATCTTGAAATTGAAATTAACCCATTTTCTAACCGCTACAGGCACAAATATAGGTGCCTAGTAAACCTAAAGCAACTTTTTTTCCATCTTTTTTCTCTTTTGGGAAATGGGTGGTGTAATGGAGCAAATCTCCATTGATCCGCTTCTCCACCCCTAACATGCTACATCCACAAATACAATACACGTGCTAAGTAAATCAACTGCAGCCTTAAGGTCGCATAACTAAGCTCCCACTCACGACTCATGTAATAAGCTATGCCTATGCCAAGTAAGAAGTGTTGAACAATTGATTCATAAGGACGACCATTGTATAACCATTCATCAACGGATGTTGCCGCTTCCCAGATTGGATAAAAATGTAAGGCAGATGAGCTCACACTAAATGTTTGAAATTAACCCATATCAGCCAAACCCCTTCTAAAACTCAGCTCAAAAATCCAATTTTGAACATCTTACAAACCGCTAAAGTTGAAATTAACATCAATAAATACAATTAAGAAGGAAAAAGACAAGCAACTCATCAAAGCTTAAGAGCTAATCGTTATACCTGTTTTACAATCTCTCCATGAACATAATGAAGATATCGAGGTAAAACAACAAGTAGTGGTAGAAATCTAAAAATAAGGAAAAAGAAACGACACGTTAACTCTGGGAAAAGGGAACAACTACTAACTAACCTTCTACCCTAATCCTCGAACTCATTCTAAATATTTGAAATTAACCCATATTAGCCAAACCCCTTCTAAAACTCAGCTCAAAAATCCAATTTTGAACATCTTACAAACCACTAAAGTTGAAATTAACACCAATAAACACAATTAAGAAGGAAAAAGACAAGAACCCACGAAATCTTACGAGCTAATCTTTATAATACCTGAGTTACAGTCTTTCCATGAGCATAATGAAGAAGCCCAGCAGGGTGAGTCTTCTCATACTGAAGCTTGTATCTTCCTTCTGGGGTTTTGAAATACGTCTTCAAACCAGGTGATTGTGCGTTATTACTGTTGTTGTTCCCCGGTACCGATGAAGACGACATCGAATTATTACTAATCCCAGAATTCAGCATTCTTCACCAAATCAAAAAAAAGAAAAAACTTTTTTCTCTGTTCCTATCAAGAATTCAACATATGGGGTTTATGAGATCATTTAAACAATTGGTTTATGAATCTTCTTGGGTGTCAATTGCTTCTAGATCAAGTGTTTTGGGAAGGGTGATATTGACTTTTTTTTCACCTATTTCTTCTCCTCCTCCTTCTTCTTCTTCTCCTCCTTCTGCTGCTGCAATTCCTTTTTGCTTTTCAGTTTGTTTTTTCTTCTTATTTCTGAGAGTTTGAGATTTAGTTGGATTAAGGTTTATGCTTATGTCTAATTTGGGATTTTAGTCTTTTGGGAGTTTGCAAACAAAATTAACAAACTTTCTATTGTGTCCCTTTTTAAGAGATTGGGTTTAATTTTGGTCTTTGAATTAGGGTCGAAGGTTAGTAAGGTAATAAAATATTGTCTCGCTTTTTTTAACACTTTGTTGGGATAGTTGTAATGCATTGTTTTAATGAATATACAATGTTTAACTGAATTATATCATTTTAATTTCTGTTATTGTATAATGTCACATGATAGCAATTTAAAGGACAAATTTGGAGGAAAAAAAGAGAGGGTATAGTATGGGATAAAGTTATTATAAAAGGTAAGGTAAATGATAAAGTACGATTATTAAATAATAAGTAAAGAAATAAAATAAGGTAACAGTACGATCACACTAAATCAGTCGTTACATAAAATGAGATTTTTGTTGTTAGCTGAAGTATTAATCCTATAATTTTATATATTTGGTTATTATATTATTTCATTATAGTCATGGTTCCTTTTTCATTAATGATTTCTTATGTTTTCCATAGAATTTTGATTTGATTTTTTATTTTTATTTTTCTCTTTAAGTAAAAATATATCGAAAATAACTTTTATACCTCTTCTAAGATAGAATAATATCTATGTACTCTCTATTTTCGACAACAGAACTTTCATCTCCAAGCTTCCAAGCTCTTCTCATTAGTGGTTTAGAAATTAATTAAGTAATATTTCAAAAGAAAACACGTATTTCACTTTTAAGAAAAAAAATAGAATTATATGAATGGCAACTACTTTACAAATTTGAAAACTTATCTTATCAAGCTAATCAAAAATTATTTCAATACATAATCAAATAGGAGTAATATTTTATTTTATTTAAAAAAAAATCATATCCAAACGATATCTTCTTTTTGTTCCCCTCAATTGTATGTCTTAAAATATCAAATCATCCAAAAACAAAGAGAGATAAAAGCAACAATGATGTCGTTGATAAAAGCAACGGTATCTTCTTCTTTAGATATCTCTATTTTACTTTCACCATTCAATTATTTTTACGAAGCTGATTGTTTGAATGGATTTATAATTTATGATTTATAATTATGATTTTTATTATCAATGATAAGAAAAAAATTACATAAATACACAACTTAAGATATTATAATCTCTAAAATTCTTTATTATTTTGAAAAAAATACAAAAATCTCCTCTCGAATACATCCCATTAAGTAAAATATCATTTACAATGTATCGGACAGCCAAGAAATGTATCCGAGAACAATGAAAAATCCAGAATGAATTGAGAAAAAATTTGGAATAAGATGTAATTAGCTCTAAAATGTATGCGATTTATGTACTTCATATTAATTATAATTCATAAGTTATATGAATAATTGAACAATACGTACAAGTTTTGCTCATTCAAACTTGTGAACAATTTGTACCAAAGTGATGCTTGCTCGATATTTGTGAATAAGATGAGCTTTAGCCCATCCAAACATACTTGTGAATAATTTTGGAACCAAAGTTGGGGTTTTAGATGTGAAGTTAGGCTATAGTTGTTTTAAATAACTATTATCAAGTCTAAATTTCAAACAAGTTGAAGTTAGGTTATAGGAATTCTCAATGTTTATATCGTTCCATTTAAACTCATATAATTTTTATTATATGTACTTGACAAAATATCTCACATGGGAAGTAAGTCAGATAATTTTTATTTTTTTTGTATAACAACAAACAGAATGAGAAAAGGGCATAAATAAAAATAATACTTCATCCGTCCCAATTTATGTGGTTCTTTTTCGATTTCGAGATTCAAACAAGTCTACCTTTGACCGTGAAAATTTCATATATTTTTTAATTATTTTGAATTGTCAATTATTGTGATTTATAATACTTTTTACGTAGATTACAAATATATAAATTTCAATTTAAAATAATTGAAGATTCTACACACAAATTTTTGATCAAACGTAAACAGTTTGACTCTCAAAAAATGAAAAGTGCCACATAAATTGAGACGGAACGGCGGAAATATAAAGTAGGAAAACAAGGGGGCCTATATATATGTGGACTGTGGTTCCTTTAATATTCTTTGGTGGAGGTTGCACAATAAAACAATAAAGATTCTACAAACATGATAAGAATTACATAATATGTCTATTTTTCATAAAACTAATAAAAGATTCTACAAACATGAGAAGAAATATACATAATATGTCTATTTTTCACAAAAAATAGAGTGGACAACTACAAGTGGAATTGATGTTGAATTTTCTCTTCCCTTAAATTATCACTTTTTGACTCACCATTGGTATTACTAAAAGAATTTCCAATTAAAAAAAATTAAATGTATAAAGAAGTCAAGAAAATTTAATATCTACTATCTAACATGTATATATAAAAAGTATACAACGTTAATTTTCCAACGAAAGAAATTCATATACCCCTAACTCCACAACAAACATACACTTTCCTTATAGATCCAACATATCCTTATGGTTTGCCCTTATAGGATTTGGTCGCTCAAGATCTTTGATCTTTATTCAGACTCGATAAAATATAATCCACTATAACTTTTTTGTTATATACCTCTTGAATACAAATACCAAACTAATAACCAAGATCAATTCTTGAAAAAAAAATATATAACACTCAAAATTCATTTCCAATGAAATATAGGTAAAGAATCACAAGCATACATGCACACAAATACTAACATGATCATATTTATAAACTCGAAAAAAATGCAGTAGAAAACAAGAAAAGGAAAATCCCCCCTTTGTACATTCCTTGAAACAGAGAAGTAGCAGAGGAAGCATCTTGTTTTGATGATGAATCAGAGGATCCTGCTTTCTTTTTCCGCGTTATAGGTGTTGGTGCTGGTGCTGGTGCCGGAGGAACAAAGAATTGTAAAGGAAGAAGGACATTGTCTACTTGATAAATAGCCAATTGGTTATCAGTATATATTGTATTTGAAATACTTGTATTCACAATTCCTGTTGTAATGTTAACTGAACTTCCTATTGTTGTTATATTTATTGGAAACTCTCTATCTGTTGTTCCTCCAGCCTGTGTTCTTAAAGGGTTGCTAGCAGTTTGGAATTGAGTGAGTGAATAGTATGTAGGAAGGATATGGAATTGGATAAGTTCAGCTTTTTGTTGATCAGTAAACGAGTTCAACGTGCCTGCTTTCATGTTTAAGAATGCATTATCTGTTGGCACAAACATTGTGATCCCATTGTTGGAATTGTTGAGTTGTGAGGTGATTTCATTGAGTTGTTGTGTGTTTTGTAGTAGACGGATGAACGTTGAGCATTGGCCTGCTTTTTCGAGGATCTTTGTCACGTTTAATGGAGGTGGTGGAGCTGGAGCTGGAGCTGGAGCTTGTGCCAAAATGCCAATGCATTTCAAGAAAAAAAAGAACAAGATCAAGAAAATGTGCTTCATTTTTTTTTTCTTTTTTTTTGGTTGAATTTGTTAGATGTTGTGGAGGAAGAGTTGTGTAATGTGTTATTTATATGTTGAGAGGGTAGATTTCTTGTTTTGAAAACAATGAAAGAAAAAGGTTTGTGGGGTATTTTGATGGAAGAAAATTGAGTGTAAAGTTAGGTGAAAGAGTATAATTTAAGGTGAGAAGGAACATCATATGTTTTGATAAGCTCAGAGCAGCTGCTAGTTTGCTTCTGATGGGAGGAAAAACAGCTGGGAATAATGGAGGTGAGTTATTGTGGGATGGGAGTGTCGGAGCAATGGTAAAGTTTTTCCTGTGTGATTATAAGCTATGATGCTCGGACTGTATAATATCAAATGTGCGTCAGATCCTTCAAAAATGGTAGTCCATTTTTTTTTAATTTATGTGTTCTAGCTATTGTTTGGAAAGTAAAAAATGGTTCTTTCTTTTATCATAACTTTTTCAAGTACTTTTTAAATATTTGAAGTGTTAATTTGGCTTATAGTACTTGTTATGTAGTTTGCAAATATTTTAGATTTTATTTCAAAAAATAATAATTAGAGATTCTTACGCCTGAACTCACAAAATTAGTTAATCTGATCCTCATATTCTGAATCAAGTCAAAATAAATTAAAATAAATACATATTTAGGAGGATAAAACACAAGTTCAAGAACATTTTTGGTGAGTCTTAGCAACATAGCTTATAGGTCATGGGAATCAACCTTATCTCCCTTGGGTTGGGTTGGGTGTGACCCTTCTTCGGATCCTATGTGAACGTGGAATACTTACGTGTATCGGGCTGCCATTTTTGTCAGATACTAAAAGGATCCTATGGGAAAAAAATATGCAAATGCAATCATAAATCATTATTTATGGTTATGGTGGGACAGGAGGGCTAATTAAGATGTAATTTCAACAGTCACAAACTCACAATTAACAAATTATTGGTACAACTAATGAGATTAATGTAAGATTACAACTTGTAATCCATCAGACAATTGCTTTTTTGGTTATTAGGTATGTGTTTTGCAATTCAAATGCATGATAAATATAACACTGCACAGGTAGGTACGCACAACGTCTAATATCCATCTTATACTTGAACTATTTGCAAGCGGGAAAAGGGTCAAATTTACCCGTGATCTATATGAAATGGTCCAAATTTGTCATCCGTTAATATTAGGGGTCAAATGTGTCCTTGCAATTCCTAAAATGGACTAGATTTGCCTTTGTTTTCACTGTTGGAAGCTTAACACATGGTGAATGCCACGTGTCCCTCTTGTTGAGTCATACTTTTTTAAACGAACGAAAAATATGCACCTTCCGTATAGTTTAGGGGCAAATTTGACCTGACATTATCGGGTGTTAACTATCACCATTTGAAAATAAGCTCAAATCTTGTCCATGCATTATGGTAATAGATTATACACTAATGTTTTAGGATAATAATTTTTGCTAATGTATCAAACCAAACCAAAATTACAATTGAATGGAATAACAACAATGCATCCATAACAATAGCAAAACTTCAGCATATTAGCTCACATATACAAAACCAAACACAGCCAAGAAGAAGAGAAGTCCGCGAGGGGAGTTGATTACACCAGAAGAAACAGAGGAAACAGAGTCAGAATCCGACGAATCATCATTCTTTGTAGGCGTAGGTGGTGAAGGAGCTGGTGTTGGTGCTGGAGGGACAAAGAATTGCAATGGTAGAAGTACTTTGTCCACTTGATAAATAGCTAGTTGACTATCAATGTAAATCGTATTCGAGATACTTGCATTGACAATTCCAGTTGTTATATTCACTGAAGTTCCATTTGTTGTTATATTGATAGGGAATTCGCGGTTGCTAGTCCCACCGGCTTGTGTTTGGACCGGATTGCTAGCTGTCTGGAACTGTGAAAGTGAGAAGTATTGAGGGAGAACATGGAATTTGATCAGTTCTGATTTCTGTTGATCATTAAAAGAGTTCAAAGTACCTGCTTTCATGCTCAAAAATGCATTATCTGGTGGTACAAATATAGTGATGCTGTTGGAGTTGTTGAGTAATGATGTTATTTGGCTGATCTCTTGAGTTGTCTGTAACAAACGATTAAACGTCGAACATTGTCCTGCCTTTTCTAGGATTTTTGTTACGTTAGTCGGGCCAGGTGGTCCCGGAGCAGGAGCCGTAGCTCGAGCTGGTGGTGGAGTTGGAGATGGAGATGGACCTTGAGCCAAAATGCCAATGCAGTGGAGAAACAAAAAGAGAAAGGTTGACACTAAGTTGTGCTTCATATTTCTTCTTTTGGTTTAAGCTTAAGTTGAAATTTCTCTGGTTGTAGCAAAAGAAGAATGCACTACTTATATAATGAGGGCGTGACTTAGTGGTCAATGAAGTGCATGGTTCTCAAGTTTAAATCTTACCGGAGACAAAAAAAACACTAGGAAATTTTTTTCCATCTGTCCAAGTCTTGGTAGTCTAAGTTGCCCAATACTTGTGATGATAGGAGGTAACAGGTATTTCGTGGATGCGCGCAAACTGACCCAGACACTGCAAGCATCAAAACAAAACAAAACAAAAAAAAAAGAGAAAAGGATGGAATAAAGGTAGTGGGGTATTGGGATGAAAGTAAAATGAAGGTGATGTTTGGTGAAAGGTTACATGTAAGGTGAGCAAGTGGATTAATAAGATTTTGATGATGTTATAGCAGCTTCTGTTTATTTGCTTATGATTGAAGGTAAACAAGATGGGAAAAAGTGAGGTAAGTTTTTTCTTTGAAGTTGTGAATCCCATTCTATATTGTAATTTTTTAAAATGGTTTCCCACCTGGTCTGGTATTCACATTGGGACTCGACTAGATCAAAATTTGCACGGAAAGTTCCATATTAGGTAAAACACTTTCTAACAAAGACAAATCTAGGAATCGAATGTGATCGAGGTCTATTGTGATTTCTGCTAGGGTGCAATCCTCAATTGCTAATCATAATTGATACAAATGGTGGGACAAGATGGCTAATTTAGTTGCAACATCATTGGTCACAATCAAAAATATATTGGTACAACTAATGATAATGTAAATGAAATATAACAAAGATTATATATCAATTAGTTGGCAATGATTTTTGCAATATCAATGCATGACAAGATAGCACAACCAAAATTTAACAGCTAAAGGTGGAAGGAAATACTCATAAGTTTGTCACTCTAACAGGGAGACATTACAACTACGCCTCGATTCCAAACAAATTCATTAGAAAGAGAAGTTGAATTACATGATCGTAAGTGATTTAGGTGAGATGAAGCTCTCTGCCTAAACAATTCCTTGCTTAATGGTAACACATGAACATTGAGGGCTTAATCGGCGAAATGGTCCTCTAGATGTAATGAATTTAGAACAAATACATCCGAGACGTTTGCAGTGTAGTAACACTTGACAATCCGCAAACATATATTTTGGTCTCATTGAATGAAAAAGATTAGTATCTCGTAGTTTAATAAAGTTAGTTCAAGAACCAATCCATCACAAGAACAATGTATTGTAACATTCTTTGGTTTGCAGCTCGAAGGCCAGTCAAGCTTTTGTTGATCCTCAACCACTTGAACCATCGATAATGAAGAAGTAGAGAAGTTATACAGATCATTCTCATTATAGAATGATTCGGTAATAAGAAATTTTTGGGAATTTTGGTCACTCCTGGAATGAATATAATGTTTCATCCTAAAGTATCAATGATTAATGAGTTCCAAAATTCTGAAACACATTTGAATCTAAGAAGAGACCGCACAAGTAACCTGCTGAGGATGTCCGTCAATACTTCCTCTAGTAAGTAAATTCCTACGACCTATATAGGACAAGTAGAATACATGGAGTATATCAAAACGAAGAAATATTAAAAAAAAGAAAGCTACAACAACTAGAGTTAGTTCAAAACAAGTTTTCAAGCAAGAATACCACTCAACAATTGTAGTTCCAACAATTGTGTAACGACTAATTTGGTGTAATCACATTATTATCTTAATATTTTATTTTTTCTCATTTTGTGTACCGTCCCTATTTTTCTATTATTGATGCATGACATGACATTATGTAATAACTAATAACAGAGAGTATAGAATCTATCCAAACGTTGTATTCATTAAAACAATAAAGTACACTACAATACAACATAATGCAATACAATATGAAATAATACGTAACAACAATCCAATAAGTTATTGGGAATAACAATTGAAGTCAATTCTAAGTAAGTAACAACACCCTGAAATCAGAACTCACCTTTGGTTGAAAAGATTAGTTTTTTTTGTATTTACAATGGATTTCTTCTTCTGTATCTTTGCTAAATTTCTATGGCGATTGGAGGATACATACGACTTCTTCCTCTTCTGTGCCATCTTTCTCAAATGCTAGGGTTTGTCTTTTTCTTTTTCTTATAAAGAAGATACAAAAGCCCGTGCAAACACGAACCCAATATATATTACTTACTTTATTTGTCTCAATTTATGCACGGGTGAGCCCAATATATGTTATCTCAATTTATGTGACACAATTGGAATCAATCAAATTTTTATATGATTTTTAAATATTCAGCTGGTCTTGCTAGACAAAGATGGTACAAGATTAAGCACATTGTTACTTAAATGAAGTACATTGATGATCATGCATTAGCTACAAAAGGATTATACTTCAAATTTAAGTTGTCACTTCACTCTAGCTATTTCTGGAGGTAGACATATAGTGTATAATTGATTATGTGAACCGGTATACATCATTCAATTAACTACGCCTTTATCTCAAACAAGCTAGTATAGAAATGAGAAAGTAAGTAGAAACAATATCAGAAGAACATGAACTTCTCTTTTCTCTCAACCACCTGGAAACCCTCCTTCAAAGTGGAACCTAATTCACACAGATGTTGTCTTTGACACTTCAAAGATCTTGTACCAACCCGTCGGTTGGCTCAACTTCAAAGATCTCTCAGACATCATCACTGTTTCACGCATATCTATGTTGCTTCGACTCCGGTGAGAATCTAGAGGTCGGATTTTTCATCACATAGA